CACTATTAGCATACATTCTGCTCTGTCAGTGAGTCAGGATTGTCCAGCTGATGGGATGTTCTGTAACTCTTAAACAACCTCACTCAAGTCCTGAAGAGACAAAATGCAAATGGATATTATGTAAATCCTACTATGCATGTTTTATTTTCAATTCCTTGTATTTCTAGGTTACTTTTCATACTGAAGGATCCCAAAATGTTTTTCAACTGCATGTACACAGGAATTATTTCTTACACACTAATCAACTCTGCTGGAAAGCGCTATAGGGTGGTGAGGCCCTTAGATTTAATTCTCCTCTGAAATATGGACACTTCTAAGTACAGTATTCCCTGACAATATGCCAGACTGAAAGTGAAGAATGCCATCTCCTGAGTATGCTGCACGGCTTCCTGTAATGGCATAGGTTTTCCTTTAGATAACTGCTGTTAAGCCTGTTAGAGAAGATGTGGTTACAGCCTCAAAGGTGTATTATAGCATATAACTGATTGATTGATTTATACAGATATATAGATGGATCTATGATGACTACAAAGACTGTCAAAAGACTTCAAAGCAGCCTCATAATCTCACCTTGAATCTTCAGCACTTCTCTTGCAGATGGCACTATATTTGGCAATTTGATATGGCAATACATAAGCTATGTTCAAAATATTACTATTGTAAATGGATAGCTATTATAAATGTTTGTTTTCAGACATCAAAGGATTTTGAACTCCTGACATAATATCAGGTGTTTTAAATAAAAAGAAATAGTATGAGACTCCAACTTTGTAACGTCCATCATGCAACCAGTCTCAGCCAAGTGCTGAAATTTGATTAATGAAATTTGAAATACCAGCACCCAAAACTGTCTCATAATATTTGAGGACACCCAAATGAGGCAAAAAGATGAGAAGTAATTCTTCCACTCTACTCCGCACTGGCAAGGCCTCAGCTGAACTATTGTGTCCAGTTCTGGGTGCCACGTTTCAGGAAGGATGTTGACAAACTGGAGAAAGTCCGGAGGAGAACAACAAAAATTATTAAAGATCTGGAAAATATGACTTATGAGGAAAGATTGAAAAAAAAAGGGTTTGTTGAGTATGGAGAAGAGAAGACTGAGGGGGGGATATGATGACCGTTTCCAAGTACATAAAAGGTTGTTACAAGAAGGAGGGTGAAAAATTGTTCTCATCAACCTCTGAGGATAGGACAAAAAGCAACGGCCTTAAATTGCAGCAAGGAAGGTTTAGGTTGGACAGTAGGAAAACCTTCCTAACTGTCAGGGTAGTTAAGCATTGGAACAAATTGCCTAGAGAGCTTGTGGACTCTCCACCATTGGAGGTTTTTAAGTACAGGTTAAACAAACACCTGTCAGGAATGCTCTAGTTATTACATAGTCCTGCCTTGAATACAGGGGACTGGACTAGACCAGGTCCCTTCCAGTCCTACGCATCTATCATTCTATGAAAGTCAACATCACCCATTGTAATTAGGAAGAGCCTGCAGGGGAAAAGACACCTGTTTCTATAAGTGATTCACAGAAACATTCTCAACCTCACCTGGTAGGATGTGTGTGATGGGGTGTATCAATGTGACACTACAACTAAAAGGGTTAATTAAGGAGCAACTCTGGGACAAGGTGACTCCACCCAGCTGCACCTGCTTAATAGTGAGCCAGACAGCTCTGAGTGGGCCTGACAAGCCAGGGAGAAGGACCTACCCTGAGAGCTCCAGAGAAAGGGCAATGCAGAAACCTCCTCCTGGAGAGGAAGAACCTGTTGGTTGAGCCCAGTCGGTCTGAAGGTTCAGCTAGTATCTCGTCTCTCACTACTGTGAGACAGACTGCAAGACTTTGACAAGAGAGTGGATGGTAGGAAGGAGCCCAGGGAGGCAACTGTAAGGCACTCCAGTGTACTGGACATTTGGTAACCCTTACAGGGTCCTTCGAGGAGATAAGACTGAGTAATAACCTGACCAGAGAGTCAAGTTAATCCCCAATAAAAGACAGACCTCCACCAGGTGTGAAAGTGTCCCAGTGGAAAGACTAGAGGCATGGCAAACAGAGGTCTAAGCCCCAACCACCAGGCAGTACCACCAGCAAACTCCATCCATCACAATATGTCACTTGTCATGTGGACTGTCTCTAGTGAGTGGCCAGTTCACATTATTAAGGCAGTGTGGGGATGAATTTTAAAGGAGAACTTTCAAACTTAAAAGAAATAAAAGCCCCTCCAGTCTACCATGGTGTGGAGTAAAGAGAGTTTCACATCAGAACTCTGGTTCTAAGCACCCTTGATCTTTGAGGACCAGTCTGGCTCTCTCTAGCCTCTCATCAAATTTTAGACTATTCGCCCATTAGTGTGGAATTTCCATGTTTGTCTGAAAACAAAATGTCTGGAAATTAGTTTTTTCCTTTATTTACTTGTCATTGGTCCATGTTTGTCCTTCAACAGCTAACGAGAACAAAACACCCTCTTGAAACAGCATCCCCTGTTTGTTTTAGGGACAGATCCTCGTCCCATTGAAGTCCATCAGTTTGGACAGGTTTGGGCAGTAGGAACTTATCTACATCCTGTGTATTCTTTACTTGTTTTGTTTATGCAGATGTATTGTGATTCATATTGGCCAGTACAATCTTTTAAATCACATGACAAAATAATGACAAAAATTAATCAGTGAGACTCCTGACTGTGTCTCAGAAAGTTGACTCAAACACTAACTAGTCTTGGTGAACAGAGAATCCATACAACTTTCCTTAAAGATCAGCACACTTGGGCTTTGTCAGACTAATCAGAGAAGCAAACTTCAGAGCCTTCTAATGAGAACAGTTTGCTTTCCACCCTTGGTCCCCCTTCCCAACCTATAAGTGTTCAACTTTGAGGGCTGCAAGTATGAGGACCCAGCTGACTTCAACAGACAAGGTGGCTCATGCAGTCAGGTTCTGATCTTGGTTGTAAATTCAAGTAATCACAAGGAAGTCAGATATTGTATCAGTAGCTAAATAAATAATAGCAACAATGCAATTGACATCAGCATTTGTCCCATAGTCTCTAAGGCAACCACAATTCAAAATGTGACATTACCCAGGGTACAATCTGGACTGCTGAACAGCAGTGTCCTTAATTCTCTAGCCTGGGGTGTCTTTTATGCTGCTATGCTGTCAGAACACCCACTCCTGGCCTGTTCACACAGCCATCAGCATGCAAATTCACTCCCAGAGCACTCTGACCAGTCACTCATTAATTATGTACAGGGCAATACTTGCAAGCTCTTAGTCCCAACCTTGTTCCCCCGTAATACTGTCCAGCAAACCATTGAACAATGCAAGCTCATAGAAAGTCCGTCATTTCATCAAAGGAAAATGATATATGCACCAGCATTGTTATCCCAAATGGAGTTTCCTTCACACTGATTAATCCAAACACACTGGTTAAGATAAAACAATAAGATATGTTTATTAACTGCAGAAAGATAGATTTTAAATTATTACAAGTGTTGATGCATAAAAGTCAGGATTGGTTACAAAAGAAAATAAAAGAGTAATATGTAAGCTAATACCTAACTTAACAAGCTAAGTGAATGTAAAAGCAAAGGTTTTGTCTCACCATACACTGTTGTAAATTTTGCAGGCTGGATCTCATTTCAGCCTGGGACCACTCTGTCTTAGTTTAGTTCTTTGAGAGTTGATGCCATGAGCAGAGAGATGGGAGTAGGACAGGTGAAGTCAAATGTTTCCTCCCTCTTTATAAGTCAGTCTCATGTGCTAGAAACATCTGTGCTGAGTCATGGTGACGTGCAGTCCATTGTGGATGTGAAGTTTGAATAGTCCCTGTGATGAAGTATAAATTTCTTGTTTACACCTCCCATCAGCTGAAGGATGGCTGCTTAAGTAGGTGATGGCTGTTTAACACGTGTCTGGGATGCTAGCGTATCTTTGTCTCTGAAAAATTGGTTTGTAGGACCCAGAATTACTATGTATTTCAGTTACAATCATACAGTAGAATCTTATACCCTCACATATAGTGTTGCTACACATATTTTAACAGAATAATGATATTCAGCGAATTATGACTTTTCAAATGATACCTCACAAGGCATACTTTGTACAAAATGAATCATAGTCTTGTAAAAGTGGTAACCATAATAGTATAGACTGTCACACAAAACCTTTAGGCTTTCTGAATCAAACTCAACCCATTTAAATTGTATCTGGAAGGAAATCAATGCAGGAGCTAGTGAAGTCTACATGGCATAGGTGTAATAGGCTTCCCATGAGTAGCACCGCTAAATAATTGGGCAGCCACATTCTACAAAGTGATCAACTATTGAAGGGGAAACAGAACCTTGAAGTCAGACCTTGGCAAGTAAGTGAAAGAGGAAATGCTTTTCAAAGAGTAAGTTTATAAATATATTTGATATTTAAATGCACATGGTGTACATTTTCTGTTGAGGTGAAAATTGCGTTGCCTTGCCAAAAACAGAAGAACTCATACGTGGAACAAAGGAAATGATTTGAGGGGCAGGAGGGTTGGTTTGTGTGTTTGGATTAATGTTTGTTGATGTGTAATCAGTGTAGTGGCAAATACATATTTTTTCCTACTGCAGAAGAAAAAATGTTGCTACAAAACTATTATGGGGCTGCTTCACTGTAAACTTTGTGCTGTTTGCTATTTCTGTCCCTAAGATTAGCACCTGCAGCTAAACTTAAATTAAATTTATAACTGCTATTAATTCTCCTGTTTCTGGGTATAAGCTGATTACTATCTGAAGAAGACATTTTCCCCGATAGTATAATATTGTAAAATTAATCAGGTGTATTATATTGGGGCTTTACACCTCCCTCTGAAATATCTGGTACTAGCCACTGCTGAAAGCAGTAGATCAGGCTAGATGGACAATTTGTTTGCTGCAATTTGTTGATATGTGTATCATTAGGTTTTAACTATTCAAATCTGATCACTATGGGATATTTTCTACAGTTTCTAATTTTTATTTCCTTCCTCCCTCCACCTTTTAAGGAGCTTCCACCCAGAATTCCAATGCAGTGGAGCCTGAAAAGCAAGCTGACAACACAGTGAAAATGGCTGGGGTTATAGCTGGCCTTCTGATGTTTGTTATAATCCTCTTAGGAGCAATGCTCACCATCAAAAGGAGGTAAGTCTCTGCTTTGCTTCCATTGTAGAGCTACTGGCTGGGACTCCTTGTATTTTATTGAAGCTGTTACCTCAGTTGAGGTAAAATGTTTCACTTGTGTTCATGTGGTGGAAAGGATTTGGGTGGTGGTGGTGGTGGTGATTTATTTGTATCAACGTAGCACCTACAAGCCAGGGCCCCGTTGTGCTGGGCACTATACAAACCCAGAACAAAAAGACAGTCCATGTCCCAAAAAGCTTACAATCAAAGACAAGGGACAACAGATGGAGACAGACATTTGGAAGAATACAAGGAAACAATGATACATTATTGGCCAGCCTGACGGACAGTGGTTTCAGCCCATCAGCAGCTTAAACATTCTCAAGTGTTTTGGAGGCATCATGGGAAAAGAGTTTTGAGGAGGGTGTTGAAGGAGGATAGTGTGTCAGTTTTGTGGATATTTACTGGGAACTCCTCCCAAATGAGGGGCAGCATGGGAGAAAGCACAAAGGGCCTTGTTTGAAAAATTAACAACTGGGCAATAGAAGCTGGCATCATGAGGCAGGAATCAAGATCTCCAAAGTGACTGAGAGATGATAGGTGGGGCAGGAGTAGGCCATGAAAGGCCTTGAAAGTGAATACAAGTAGCTTATGTTTGATGTGATAGAAAATGGGAAGCCAGTGGAAGGATATAAAGGATATAAAGAGAGGAGTGACGTGGTCAAAGTGACAAGCTAGGAAAATCTTTGCAGCACCATACTGAATGGATACCAGTGGGGCAAGGTTGCATTTATCAAAGCCACAGAGAAGGATGCTGCAATAATAAAAATGCAAGATGATGAGAGCATGGACAAAGAATTTTAGCTGTGTGTGTGGATAGGAAAGGCCCTATCATAGAGATGTTATGCAGAAAGAATGAGCAAGATGTAGACATAGTCTAGATGTGTGGACCTAGAGAGAGGGCCAAGCTGAAGAAGGCAGGTAGAATGGGGATACTGTCCACAGGGATTGAGAAAGGAGGTAGCAGGGAGGGGCAGCAGGGAGATTAGAAGGAAACAGGTCTGGAGGGGGAGATCTGTGAGTTGTCAAAATGGATGTGGTAGTTGAATTTGCATTTGTGGATGACATTATCCAGAGATAAGGCATGGAGAAAAAAGAGAAGGGGACCAAGGACAAAGTCCTGTGGAATCCCCCACAGAAAACTGGTGGGAGGATGAGGACCCTCCAGAGGACACACTGGAGCGATTATAGAGGTAGGGGAGACGACTGAGTTCTGGAAACCAATGGAGGACAGGATTTCAAGAAGAGGAGCATGGGCAAGTGTGTTGAAGGTGGCTGACAGGTAAAGGAGTATGGGGACGTAGTATTGATTCTAAGTTTTGGCAAAGAAGATGTCATTAGAAACTGGTGAGAGTGGTTTCAGTGGAGTGCTAGGGGTGGAGGCTGGATGGGAAGGTCTGGGACAGAACTGAAGGTGATTATTGACAGCATGTTCAATGATCTTAGAGATGAAAAGAGAGATGGGGCAAGTGGGGGTCAATGGTGGGTTTTTGTAAGATGGGAGAGAGTAAAGCTTGTTTGTAGTGTGAGCTAGAGAGAGTGAGAAGTTAAAAAGAAGAGTAAGAGCTGAAACGAGAATGGGCCCGGGGCAGTGGGACAAGTAGCGAAGTTAGAGAAGGAGAGTAGAGAAGAAATGTTCTATCTTTGAGATTTTTTCCAGGGGAATTAGAGGACTATGTGACTCAATAGTAAATCTGGTTGAATTGTCTGGTTTTGACTTGTATGTATGAAGAAGGCACTTGTGGTTAGAGCATGGACCTAAAACCTGGAGTGCTGGGTTCTAGACTAGATTCTGCAAGTCACTGCATAACCTTGGGAAAGTCACTTTGCCTGTCTGAAAAAAGGGTAACAATACCTCAAAGATGTGTTGAGAGCTTATTTTGTAAAGCATTTTCAGATCCTCAGATGAATGATGCTATATATGTGCAAAGTAGTGTTATTAAAATGAAATTTGAGCTGTTTTGCAGTTTGGAATTTTACTCTGTTTTGCACATTTCTTAAACTTGTCATTATTTTACAATTATCCTTCATTGTGCCTTTGGAGAGAGAGAAGATGCAATTTTGCAGATGCATGCAGCATTCCCATGTGATTTCTAAATGACTGGCTGTGAAATATGGCAAAGATTTCAGCAGAAAATTGCTTTATTTTATTATTATTTTTTTAATTTATTTTTTTTTTTTATGTGAGAGGGTGAGGATGCTGGAGTGGCTTATTCTAGGGTGATTATTACCCTGCCAAGCGTGGTGTGTTTGTGCTTGCTTAGAGACAGCCATTTCCTTTGGAATATGAGTTCAGCTGGACAGAGCATTAAAATCTTTCAGTGGGGATAAGTGATTTCTGAGAGTTTGGTTTTGTTCATGTTTGGTTGAAACTGTCTGAAATTGTTGCTGCTCTGGATAGAAGCAAAGTTTTCAAGCAGTTCGTCTTTGTGTGACGGTGTGCTACTCTGAAATCTGTGCTTTCTTTGTGAACCATTAGTTCTCAAACTTTGAAATAGAGCATAACTTGTAGCTGGCTTTTCTGTTATCATTGTAAGAGCTGCTACCATGTAACATACAGATATGATTCAGAAAACAGATAGGACACAGATATGTTTCGTACCAAGGAGGGATTTTCTGTGTGTTGGGGGTTTTTTGTGAGTTACTTTTCTGATGCTCTCTCTACTTTTCAACATGATTGTTGTGGTCAGTTGTTGGCTGCGTATGTGTTTATTCAGTGTGTGCTGTCCCAGCTCTGCGCAGATGGCGGAGATATCAGACCTTAAATAAGCTGCCCAATAAATTTACAGACTTGGTTTTTAGCAAAGGCACCCAGCTAGGTTTATTGTTAATGAAGCATGGTAACAGCACCTGGCAGACTATACGAGGATACGAAGACATGTATGCTCGTGACAATGGACGCAGCTTAGTTAGTACTGGGACTTTCCACTGCTCCCTAGGCTGGCCAAAGATACTCCCTTTGAGATACATTTTTGTACCCCAATACAAACAAGTTAGTACTGCCCCTTTGACATAGTTAGTTACTGCCCCCTGACGTCACTAGTTATTACCCATTATTTTGTACATGTTGGTTTAGTTCAGGGGTCGGCAACCTTTCAGAAGTGGCGTCCCGAGTCTTCATTTATTCACTCTAATTTAAGGTTTTGTGTGCCAATAATACATTTGAAAGTCTTTAGAAGGTCTCTTTCTCTAAGTCTATAATATATAACTCAACTCTTGTTGTATTTAAAGTAAACTAGGTTTTTAAAATGTTTAAGAAGCTTCATTTAAAATTAAATTAAAATGCAGAGTCCCCCGGACCGGTGGCCAGGACCCAGGCAGTGTGAGTGCCACTGAAAATCAGCTCGTGTGCCATAGGTTGCCTACCCTTAGTTTAGTTAAAACATCTTTATTACGTACTGTCATCCTAACCTTATCTTTAAAAGGGGTCAGTGTGTTCCTGTTATCCTTAGGAAATATTTTTGTACCCTCCTTAATATCAAAATGTTCTGGAACCTTAATATTGGGATGTGTTTGCGTAAGCGCTCTGTAACTAGCACTTCTTAGGAATGTGTATTTCTGTAATATCAGCCCTGTTCTTGCCAAATTCTGTAAGCAGGCCCTGTCTCATACCAGGCCTCTAATACAAGGGCTTATGTCTCAGGCTCTCTTCCTACTACATTTCTGATCCTAGATGAAACCTGAGCTGCCTGATTGCACACCGCCTTAGTTAGACAGCTACTACTGTTTACACATGTGAGTAGCCCCATTGACTTTGGTGGGTCTACTAGCATAAGTACGAACTACTCATGTGACTGAGGGGTTGCAGGGTAAGGCACTCGTTCCTAGACAGTATTAAAACTTTCCTTCAGCTTATTTGCCCCTGCTCGTAGTGCACGCTGCTGACATTTCAAAGAAGGGCACACAAGATATGCCCACAAAAATGCATGTTTATTCATTGCGCCCATTGACATATGCAAATAAAATAATACTTGAGGATGTAAATTGTCCGTTAATTACATCGCTACTGAGTGCCTTAAAAACCAATTAGAGAGACAAAGTGGATGAGGTAATATTTTTATTGGACCAACTTCTGTTGGGGAGAGAGACAAGCTTTTGAGCCACACAGAGCTCTTCTTCAGGTCTGGGAAAGATGCTCCCAGCATCACAGCAAAATGCAAGGTGAGGCATATTGCTTAACATAAGTAATTAGCACATATTCAAAGGGACCATTTAAGGTAAAGTGGCCTGTTAACACCTCTGTAGTCATAGGACAAAGAGGGGGTCGGTGGGTTATAGATTATTGTAAGAAGCCATAAATCCAGTGTGTCTGTTCAGTCCATACTTTTTAATGTCCAGCAGAGTAATGAATGTAAGCTCCCAGGCTCATCTTTTGAAAGTGTTGTGCCGGTTTCCTTTGAAGATGAGGACTGATAAGTCAGATATAGCATGATCGCTTTATGAACAGCATTCACCCACCGGTGATAGGGTTGAGGGGGAGAAGGGATTTGAACAGGGATCTGCCACAACTCAAGTGAGTGCCCTAACTACTGGGCTATGGGATATTCTGATGTGAGGCTCCCTCAGTCTCTTCTATTGAAGGTGTTGCGCTTTTGATAAATAATTAGAGTCATTGGAACAGGGTGACTGGATCCCGGGTCTCCCCATCTTGGGTGAGTGCTCTAACCACCAGGCTACAGAGTCATGCTCATGCTTGTGTGCGCACATGTGCTCTCTCTCACCCTGAGTCATTCACCCCACCCCATACCTTCTTGCTAAAACAGGATAAGGCACATAAGTATAAAGAGGATTCCTAGCTCTGAATCACAACAGGACATAGACACCTTGCTGCAGCCCACGCTTAGGTGTCAATATTTGTGAGAGGGGTGGGACTTAGCACACCCCCTCTAGATGGCATCTTCCACTGGTTAGCTTAGACAACTCCCCGCCTAGCACACTAGCTTATGTTAATTGTGGTATAA